ATGCTACTGAAGGCATCCACCCCGTCTCCCTCCCAACTCCCCCCTAGCTGGCCCACAGAGAAGTACAATGCTGATCCAGCCTTCAAAGAAATCCAGTTTGACCCCTGTATTAGGCAGTTTGATTTCTCTTAGAACTCAAAAATCTCAAAACAAACTTAGCATGGTAAAGTGTTTCAGTTATACAAATTATGAGCTTTCTAGATAATTATTGAACATTTTTCTTATTGTTAATTTGAGTTTATTTCTGTTTACATTCTTAATGAAAATCTGAGCTAAGCTGACAAATTATAATATATATTACCTCTGCCTCGGTGAATGAATCCAATTTAGAGAATCCTGAGTAAATGGCTGTCCAACCTCCACTTGAATACATCCAGTGAAATGGAACTCACCATATCCCTCAGTAACTGGTTCCATTGTCAAATTGATCTCAACTGGAATTTGCCTTCCTGTAACTTGACCACTGTTCTCTGTCCTGTACTTTGGGAAAACAGAGAACAGGTTATGGCCATTTTTTGTACTCTTCAACTACTTTGAATAGTTAGTACTATCCACTAACTTTGTCATTTTTTCTCAGGAGTAACAAAACAGTCAGTTTCATCCATCTCTCTTTCTAGAATCTAGCTTAATCTTTATAATGAAGATCAATATTTTTTTTAGATTTTTATCCTACTTAATTCAAGGCAGCAACCAATACTCCTTCCTCCTCCTATTTTCCCCAGAACAATAACCCTGAGAGGTGGGTTGGACTGAGAGAATGACTGATCAACAGTCATCCAACTGGTTTTCCTTATCTAAGGTGGGAGAACCTTAGCCAGTACACTAAATTGGCTTTATTATTTTTTTAATAGATACTTGTTTATATTCCATATATTGAAGCCACTATAAATGACTATGAATTTTGAATTAAATCCTTCACTGAAAAATTAAGAAGAGCATTAATGGATTCTAGTACCATCACTCTTCTTTACTTCTGCAATATTGGGAGGTTTTGCTTTATTTTTTTTAATTTCCAACAGCATTCAGTTTTAAAATTTTCTAATCAAGTTTACCATGCTCCTACTGAACACATTCTTCTCACTTCCTACAAAGGGTAATTCATATTATGCCTGTAATATCTAAATTATATAATGTAATTTATAATTCACAAAAATGGAAAATTGATGTAAAGAGGGTCTCATTATTTCCTTAATATTGCTCATTTCAGAAAACTCACACATTTCTTGTTTGCATCTTTGACAATTCATCAGAAAAAATATTTGGTTATATTGGAAGAATCTTCACAATAAAAGTGTCAGCTAGTTCTTCAGCAATAAGTAATTCTGATCTTTTATGGAGAAATATATTGCTGAGGAAAACAGGTTTAAGGTGGCGGTTGAATCTAAGCATCAATTGCTAAGCTAGATACATATTTCATAGAAAATAGACTCAATAAAACCAAGCTACTTTGACAACCATTCTACTCAAGATTGGCTCAAGATCACCCAACTAGAATGTTTTATCTTCCACTAAGAATTTGTAAACAAACTATGATAAATTCCTTTTATCATTCACTACTATTTCCAAGAATTGTCTAATACAAATACTACTTTTGGGGGATTACATTTCAAGTTTTTCTTGTCTTTCTTTCTCAGGATTTCTCAGAATTGCTGCCCCTCCCCCCAAAAAAGGCTAGAGCTTTTCTCACATCATACCATGATTGACACCATCCCTTTACATAGACATCATCGTGCATTCTATTTCCCTATCATGTAAACATATAACTTTCCTTATTCCTTATTCCTTCTCCCTCTAGACTAGGGGTGTCAAACTATGTCACATGCAGGCCACACCTTCCCCAGTTCCATGAAGGGAAGAAATGATGCAGCAAATTTTGATACTTGTACTCTACATCAGTGGTCCCCAACCTTTTTTGTACCACAGACCGGTACAAAATGATCCACGGACTGGTACCAGCATCAGCATGCACGACCAAGGCAAGGCGAGCCGAGCGACCAGCCAGCCAGCCGTCCCCCGCTTCTCCCCGCCACCTTCAACTCCTCCTTTGTACCTTCTCGTGGTCAATGGGCTTTTTGGGCTCTTTCTTAATCTCCTCCTGAGTAATGCGAGACTCCACTGCCATCGGGACAGCTCTTCGTTCGAAGCCGCCCCCCCTTCGACGAAACTAAGGCGCAAGGATTCCTTCAGCACCCAAATGCCACTTTCCAACCAACGACAAGCTCACCTGGAAGCACTTTCTCAAGCGCCGTCGAAACAAGATGGCGGCGCCCAAGCAAAATAGGTGGCCTGGTACAAAATGATCCACGGACCGGTACCGGCCCAGGGCCCGGTGGTTGGGGACCCCTGCTCTACATTATTCCAGAATCTCTCCCTCTCTCATTCCCTATAGTATTTTATGCAATCTATCTTTTACATGTCTGCCATTCTTTGGTCCATTTCTAACTCTTGTGCTTCCATAATTGCTCCTTTGCTCTTTAGAGCTCAGCAGTTTCTCCCCTTGCTGCAATCTACTAAGACTGGTCATTCCATTACTGTTCTTAGTTAAAAAAAAATAGGGTAGTATATATAGTTTTAAACTTATATGCATGCCCTTAAAGCAACCTACATACAACACAATTCTCTACAAACAAAATTATATTTTCCAGTACTAAATAATGTGATTACCTAAGAACACAGTTTGACCTAAAATATGTTTCTGATTGAGCCCCAAATCAAAATCACTCAGTATGCCTGCAAGTATAGATTACATTTTTTTCAGGATAATTAAAATACTGTCTCTATAGAAAGTTTTACTAGCTATAAATGCTGAGTTTGATTATATTTTCCATATTCCCTCAGTTTAATGGTAATATTTACTACAAACCCCATAATAAGTATGATAGAGATTATAAAAGTCTGCCATCCCATTTATGAATGAACATGTGGAAAACTCTTTAAAACATCACTGGCTACAGCAAACCTCCTTCCCAGACAGAAGGAAATCAACAACTAATAGATGACCTGAATGTGTTTTACTGCAGGTTTGAAAGAAAACTACTGCCACCTATCTCCACAACCCCCATCTCAAACACAACAATAACAGCCAAGCCTCCTACAACTGACCCCAACCCATTGGCTTCACAACTTCTGGTGATCACAGAAAAAGAAGTGCAAGATCTATTTCAGACAAAAGCCAGGAAAAGCACCAGGGCCAGACAAGATAATTCCTTCTTGCTTAAAAGTCTGTGTTGACCAATTGGCCCCCATCTTTACCTAAATCTTCAATAAATCACAAGAGATGTGCTATGTTTCTTCTTGCTTCAAATGCTCTACTATCACCCCAGTGCCAAAGAAGCCCTCCATCAGGGAACTGAATGACTACAGACCAGTTGCTCTAACATCTGTAGTTATGAAAACCTTTGAAAGGCTAGTGCTATCCCACCTGAAAACCATCACGGATCTGCTGAGTTCCCATGCAGTTTGCATACTGAGCAAATAGATCAACAATGATGCTGTTAATATGTCTTTGCACTACATCCTACAACACCTTGAATCTCCAAATACCGACGCAAGGGTCATCTTTGTAGACTTCAGTTCAGCATTCAATACCATCATCCTAGACATTCTTCTAACCAAAACTAAACCAACTGAACACACTTGTAAGTGGGTCATAAGCTTCCTAACAGACAGGAAGCAACAGGTGAAGCTAGGCAGAATCACATCTGATACCTGTACAATTAGCACAGGGCCCTCCCAAGGCTGTGTGCTTTCTCCATTTCTCTTCTCCCTATATACCAATGACTGCATCTCAAATTATCCATCTGTTAAAATACTGAAGTTTGCAGATGATACAACAATGACTGATCTCATTCGAGACAACGACAAATCTGCATACAGATGGGAGGTTGTACAACTTGCCTTGTGGTGTAACTGGAGCAAATGAACACACTTAAAACCATATAAATGGTGGTAGACTTTAGAAGAAACCCTCCCATACTACCACCTCTTACAATACTAGACAACACAGTATCAACAGTAGAGACCTTCAAATTTCTAGGTTCTATCATATCAAAAGACCTAAAATGGACATCTAACGTCAAAAACATCATCAAAAAAGCACAACGAAGAATGTTCTTTCTGTGCCAACTCAGAAAGCTCAAACTGCCAAAAGAGCTGCTGATACAGTTCTACAGAGGAGTTATTGAATCTGTCATCTGCGCCTCTATAACTGTCTGGTTTGGTTCTGCAACCCAGCAAGACAGACACAGGCTTCAGAGAGTAATTAGGACTGCACTGAGTACCTGTACAGTGCATGAGTCAAAAAGAGGGCTGTGAAAATATTTACAGACCCCTCATATCCCAGACCTTACGATTTATATTGACTGTTTCCTAGTATGATTTGATTGCTTATTGTACTCTATGACTATTATTAAGTGTTCTACCTTATGATTCTTAACTCTTGCCGGATGTATCTTTCTTTTATGTACACTGAGAGCATTTGCACCAAGACAAATTCCTTGTGTGTCCAGTCACACTTGGCTAATAAAGTATTCTATAAAGAATTCTATATTCTATGAAGAAAATGATAAAATAAATCAATATAATGTTTATCTAAATACATTTTTTCCACAACTCTATTTGTGGGAAATTGTTGTGGAATATTTGTAAAATTTCTAGAATAAGTAAAAAATTCTCCTTCCAGAGCAATATGTTTTAATACTTTTAAACAAATTCTGGTACTTCTACAAGGCACTGATACTACTATGAATGACATATTTAGAATTATGTGACTTCAGTAGTTGGTAGTGTATAAAATCAAGTAATTGAAACTGATTACAAACTTCCTTGTTAAATATATTTCATTTAACATTGTATGTTGTTTCTGTAGTACTTAAAATGCAAAAAGAGAAGGAAGTAATAATAACCTCATAACTGAGGTAACCTCATAAATAAGTCAACAGGAAGAACCAATCAACAATGAATGAACAGCCTCTAATTTATCACAATCAATATTGTCTTACCATGAATTCTTCCAGTGTCTGGTAGATTTTCCCACGGAAATCACAATAATTTTTACGTTCTTTGCACTGTGGACAGCACTGAGTAGTGTCAACATGAATACAGCGAGGGTGGAGTCTAGGACATTCTGGCTGAATACACAGCGGGCCTTCTTCAGTACAAAGACAAGGGCATGCAGAGGGTCCTGGAGTAAACTTCTCCCCAATTGCATAAACAAAGCCACTCTCATCCATACAGCCTTTTCCACGGTAGTCTGGATAAACATATTCCTCTGGGGGTTCAGATGTGGTACCCGCAATAATATCTAAGACAGAGAAATCTTCAGCAGCAGGAAGTTCCTCTTGAATATCTTTGATCTGATTATGAGCTTCAAGGTTCCCAAACTTATTATTACTTGTTGCCTGAATACTCAAAACTTGTTTTTGCTTTGTCCAAGATTCTTTATTAGAATAATTTCTGTTCCCTTTGTTTTTCCAGTCCCTGGTGCCTTCTTCTCTCCCATTCATAGTATTTTCATTCATTTTCCCTGGTCCATGATTCTGTCTTTCTTGGACTGACAGTTGATATTTCTTTTCGTCACTTGTTTTTATCTCCTGCTTGTCTTGAGCCTTGGATAGTTTTTGCAATGGTGTAGTAGAATTACACAGAGCAACCATCAGGCAGCATGTCACAAGAAGGGAACTAGAAAGAGCCCCAATTGCCATTGCAGTATTATTGGGCATCATCTAAGACATCTCAGATGGACAAAACATATTTCATTCAAATCAAAGGATGTCGGCCAGTCAATACACAGTCCCTGGGAAGAGATGAGTTAGGATACTTCAAATAATTCTGCATTTTTATATAGAAAGCAGTATATATAGTCTTTATCCAGTATGTGTAAAAATGAAAAGCAGGCTAAGAAAAACACTGGATCTTAGAGACTCAGTTTCAAATTATAGCCTAACTATGGATATATTGGCCATTCTTGAATAAACTGATGCTTTTCAATTTCAGTTCGCTTATCTGAGAGCAGAATAAGGATCTATATCACATAAATAACTTAAGCTAACTAAATAACTTTTTTAAAAGAAGCATGATGAGAAATTTGCCCTCTTAATGATTATAAATCAATGGGGAAGAAAATCAATATAATACTTAGATGTCAATACAAAAAAATAAAAAAGCACATTAACTGAGAGAAGAGGAAGGGATATAATTGCTTCATAATAGTAGTAAATTCTAAGTAAGATTATGAGCTTATCTTTGAAATATTGGTTTTATTGTGTCTGTGTCTGTGTTTGAGGGACAGAGAGATAGAGAGAGAAGTAATCATTTGCCTTTCTGCAAATTGTATATAAACAAAAAAAAAAACAAGATTATCCAGAGCATAGAAGAATTTAGAACCTGCACCATAAATTCATCAATATTTAAAATTTCTGCTTGTGCACTGATTTTTGTAAACTCCAAAACATAGTTATGAAATGTCATCTCTCTCCCCCCACCCCTCGTTATGCAAGTCAAGGAGCAAAATAAATATTTGATTTTATATGTATTTCACCCTACTATTTCTTAGTTCATAAAACTTTAAGTCTTTTTCTTCTAAAACCAATTATCTCAATGGATATTTTAATAAAAAAGCAACTATAGGTTTATTCACTACTTTTCATGGTAGACTATTTCAAACTGTTCCCCTCAAAAACTCATTATATGTTTTTAAAAAATCAATATACTCAAAAATAATCATTTGAATCAATATTGGCAATATTTTCTACACTATATAGCTGAACTCTATGCTATAGATTCTCATTGAACATCTAAGTTAATAAATATTTTTTAAAATCCACAAAACGTCTTTTAGTACAGAAAAATCCTATTGTCCAACATTCAAAAAAGGAAGCAAACCTTATTACATATAAATAAATGCTGAGAAAAGACAAGGAATGATTTTAAATAATCATAGTAAATAGTACTACATTTAAGAATGTTATCTTCAAGTTCTAGATTTCAGCATTATATAGTATCATGTACTCAGAAATTAATCTTGTTTATATTGTTCCATAAACTTATTCCTAAGCAACTATATGCAGAAACAAAAACTTAAAAGACAAAAATATTTACTGCAGTGTGAAAACAGTTCCCTAGCCTGATGAAGGAAGTTTCAAAGAGTCTTTCTTTTCAACAAGTCTTTCAAACTGAGGTATTCAGTTTTTCAAAGGCAAGAGGGGGTTGAGGAGAAATATCTTGGGGAAATTAGAGGAACATTCATGGATTTGACAGAAAAATTTGCATCTAAACATTGAAATAATCCATATTTGTTAGGATCATGAAATATTGCAACAATAAGCATGTACACGCGTATGCACACACACACACACAAAATATAAACCAACCACTTTGCCGAAATTATTTATTTATTTAATAATATATGGAATATCATACATGGCCTAGCAAAATATATTAATATTTCACTTAGATCAGTAAAACACAAAAAATATAAATGTTAAAAAGATCTATGTTCAAATGCCAAAGTCTAGGCCATTTGCTGAAGTTAAATCTGGATTTTGCAAGTGCCTGAGGAAATGCGATGTGTTTCTCAAAAGCTTATAGCTTGTAGTAAAATGTATTATTCTGGAAAGGCTCTACCAGACTCCTGATTTTTATCTGAGAACTAGGTACTGTGTGTTTCATTATCATAGAAACAGGACAGAAAATCTAGCAAATAATATAAATCAAATGCTCATGTCTTACCCTCTGTGAAGATTCCCCCCTCCATTTTGTATTCATCTTCATTATAAAGCACAATCGACATGGCATTTTCAAAAAATTAAAACAAAAATACCACCAAATACTTAGTTCAAGGAAGCTTGGGGATGGGCAAACAGACAGAGTCAAGGATAAAATGGAAAACAATATATATCAGTGCAGTTACATGGATTGTAGCTTAACGTAAAACAATTCAAGGATACAGCCGTCTATGATAGCTTTGCAGCAATAAGCTTCTTCTTGGTTAAGCTTTGTGCTTTGCCTCCATCGCTGCACACATACAGTACACATACACTGCAACTTTCCAGTCTCCTTCCCTGTCCCCAGTGCAAAAGTTCCCGCTACTACTGGCGCCCCAAAGGACCGGAAGAGCTCTTCCTCTTATTACCTTCCACTGCATAGCCTTTACTAGGCAGATCCTTTCCTTCCTCTCGTTCCAGACCTGTCAGCCGGTTGCTCCTCGGCTCGAGAAAGCAAGCAGCTCGTCTTTTGTCTCCATCCTCCGTCCGGAAGAGAAAATATCAGACCAGCGATTGGGTCCGCTTTCTGCTCACTTCTCTTCGTTTAAGAAGCGAAGCCTCAACCCCTGTTACCCGACCGCAAAGACGGGCTCCTCCCTTACGTTTTCACATTGCGATTTCTTCGCAGCCACGCTTGCCGCCTCCTTCCTCGATCCGCATAAAAACGGTAGCCTGAAGCGCGCTTTCCTCCGCTTTGAGTGACCCCGTCCCTCTCTCGGACACTTGCCCGACGTCCGGAATTGCTGCCTGCTGCCGAAACGTCATTTTTGCCCCATGGAAGAGTTACTGGCCGGGGTTGCCAGGGGTGAGAGAGTCCTCGCAAGCAGACTTCAAACTGCAATGGCTGTGCGGTTGCTTCCTTATCTCCTACTCTGTTCCCGCTTTCGTGAAGCGGCAGGAGGCTTATTTCTGGCCGGGACTTTTGGCGATGATAAAATCGTCGTCTAATTTATACAGCGCTTTGCACAAGATGACCCGAAGGAAATGTGAGAAAGGAGGTAGCCCGGACAATGGCGTTTCTACTGCTTTTTCAAGAAGGAACATTGTGTTGGAAACGAGAGACATATCAGTATGAGAAACACGCGTGCTGCCACCTAACCTGCATATAACAGTTCAGATGGTACTGTAGGTAAATGTTAATCCCAATTCATTCGTTTCTTTAAATTCTGCTCTCTCTTTTAACCCAGGTCTACCCTCTGGACAAAACTGTGCTGATCTCCATATTTTGCATTTAATAAAAAATAACCAAATATCCCCCAAGTGAACAAGGAGTGTTGGGTAGGGGAAGCAGGTAATGTAATTTTCCTGCTTTAATCCCTTCCTTTGCACTGGGAAGAATATGCAAGTACGGGTAGTCCTCGATTTATGACCACAATGAGCCCAAAATTTATGTTGTTAAATGAGACATTTAACCTTTCTTACTTCGGTTGTTAAGTGAATCCCTGCAGCTGATCAGTTAGTAACCTTGTTGGTAAGTGAATTTAGATTTCCCAGATCATCAGAAGGTCACAGAAGGGGATCACATGATCTTGGGACACAGCAATGTCATAAATATGAATCAGTTGCCAAGCACATGAATTTTAATCACATGATCATGGGGATGCTGCAAAAGTCATAACTGTGAAAAATAGTCATAAGTCACTGTTTTCAGTAATGTAACTTTGAACAGTCACTAAATGAATTGTTGTAAGTCAAAGACTAGCTGTATTTGAAAACAGGTGTAGAGAAGTACACTTTCCTTACCTTTCCCAATTCAATTTTAAGATAGGGTGTACTTTACAGTACGTGTTAATGTTGGATCAAAATAGTTAAAATGTTACTAAATTGTGAATCTTACCCTGCTTATACCTTTAGCACAAATACTTTCTGGAAATACTGTAGTGTTTTCTTCATAATTTCATCAAAGTATTTTCCCAATTGCAAAGGCAGCTTTAAAATGTAAAAATATGTTAGAGTTTAATGTCTACTACCTTGAAATCCGTGGTGGTGCAGTGCTGTGGTGGCGCAGTAGTTAGAATGCAGTACTTCAGACTACTTCTGCTGATCAGTGGTTGCCAGCAGTTTGGCAGTTCGGGTCTCACCAACTCAAGATTGCTCAGCCTCCATCCTTCTGAGGTCGATAAAATGAGGACCCGGATTATTGGGGACAATATGCTGACTCTGTAACTGCTTAGAGAGGGCTGTAAAGCGGTATATAAGTCTAAGTGCTATTGCTATTGCTAAATCAAGCAGGGTAGAATGAGGAATAGGGGTGTCAGGTGTCAGCTGATGGGTTCCTTCCAGCTCCAAGATGGAAGGATGGAAGCATTCAGCAGCAGAAAAAGTCTTAAGTGGGGATTCTGCTTCAAGCCACTCTGTGTAGGTTTGTTGAGTTTAACATAGTTTTTGGCTAAATTTCAGTTATACAGTATCCAAATGTTTTAACACAAGATTGTATCTATTAGAGTAGCAATACTTGCCACTTAAGGAAATTTATTTATTTATTTATTTATTTAGTTAGTTAGTTAGTCAAACAATTATTAGATAACAGGTATAAGTATAAACATGGTTATAAATACATGAAATGGATACGAATAAGAAAAAAGAAGAAACAATAGGACAGGGACGGTAGGCATGTTTATGCTAGAGCTAATAATAATGGGGGAAACATGTGCTTGTACCAATTTTGAAGCAACCATTATGTCAGGCCCATATTTTGTTTTCTGCTTTGAGCAGTAGAATCATTTTTCAGTAAATAATATACACATAAGAAGATACATTTAATTATGCAAACAGTTTTATCTCCTTGGATGAACACACATTGTAAAACTTAAAATTAATTTTAGGCACTCTAGTGAAAAAAACTAAGATTGATTAGAAAAATAATCATTTGGAGTTGCTTCTTCCTATGTTAAATGAAAATGTCAGATATATAAGTTTAAGAAGACTGATGTTCAGGGAAAACTGATATCTGGAAATATTTTAGTTTATAGGACTGACCAATAGAGGCCAGTATGCGCTTTGAAATCTGAATGAAAAGGATCTGCTCTTACTAGTTCTCAGAAGTGCAAGGTCTACATTATAAACACTAAGATATAAAAAATAAAGATGTGGATTGATGATGTAAGTTAGGAAATAAAATGTTGTGCGGTCCAAATTTACTTTTTTTTCCCCAAGATACAATGGAATCTATCTACACAAATTTAATATGCTTGTTAGATTGCTCAATGCTACCAGGTTTGAGCTGCAAAAATCCAGATAGCCACTCTGTGGTAGCAAGAAAATAATCTCAGTGTTGTCTTTTGCTGATTCCTCAAATTCTTGCAGCTCCATCTTGATAGTTTTAGTTAGTAAATATATAAACTATCTGTGTTACAATTGCAAACTTGAAAACACAAAGAAAAGGGGATCAACTTATTTTTCCAAAACACCAGAAGGCAAGCCAAGAAACAATGAAAAGAAGCTAGAAGCAACCTGGAACTAAGCAGAAATTTTCTAACCAGTGGAACGTCATGCCTTTAGAAGTTGTGGAACGTCATGCCTTTAGAAGTTATTATTATAAATAATGACTATTGAGCTTGAATTGCCAAAATCCTCAGATGTGTTTACTCAGTATTTCATTGCAGTCTACTAAAACAAAAAACCACCTCTCCTCTACATCCAGGAATTGAACCACCTCCAGATCCCTTTATATTGAAGGGGAGCAACATTTTGAAATCACTGGAAGCTATTTAAGAAGAGACTGGAGAGACACTTGTCTGGAATGGTATAGGATTTCCTGCTTTTGCAAAAGGTTGAACTAGAAGGCCCCCAAGATCCCTTTCAATTCTATTATTCTGTTTTATTTTCGTAGCTTCTATTGATGTTGGACAATAGGGGTCCCCAGCACCTGATCCTCAGACTGGTGGTAGCAGTCTGCACACCATTGGGAATTCCATCTAAATACCACTCTTCCATTTCTATATGCATGCTTTAGACTTTTGCAGATAAAAACAGAAAACAGCTGTTGTGTAATAAGCATATTATTTCAAGAAAAAAGCTGGAAGTAACAGGCATTCATTTATTATCCTAAAGAGTCCCTTGAGCTTAAATTGACTACTGGTATCCAGCACTCCCTCCTCCCCATTTAGTTTTTGGGGAGGAACAGCCAAGGTCAGCAGATGCTGCCACCTGCTGTGGCATATTTATAGCAGTTGTTTACTGAATAAAATATGATAACTTTAAACCATACTAAAATTTGATTTTCATCTAAGAAGCATTTTTCTTCAGAACAACTACCACCGATTCATTTTTGCTACCAGTATAGTTTTTTTAATTGTGTATGATATTATTATAAATAATAAGTATATATTTATTAGTAAATATAATTATTGATAATAATAGTAATTATTAATAGGTAAATTTATGTATTATATATGCTGTGTATTATATACTATTACCATCATAACTTTAAAACCTCTCTGTGTACTTCAAAAAAAGACCTTGAAAATTCATATATTGGACAATCCTGTTATATTTTTTGGTACCTGGAAAGTTGTTACTTAGGAGTTCAGGATCTGTTCTTTACAATCTCAGAATATAGAAAATATAGAGTAACAAAGTTGAAAGGGAATTTGGAGGTCTTCTAGTCCAGCCCCTTGCCCAAGCAGGAGACTGGATTCTAAACAATTGTCAAAGAACCCAGGTCCAATGTTGGCCATTTCCCCATAATAAGAGTTATTAACCTGGTGACTATTGAGCTTGAATTGCCAAAATCCTCAGATGTGTTTACTCAGTATTTCATTGCAGTCTACTAAAACCAACAACCACCTCTCCTCTACATCCAGTAATTGAACCACCTCCAGATCCCTTTATATTGAAGGGGAGCAACATTTTGAAATCAAAGACATTTTGGAGTCATGCATGTACCACGGGAAAACCCAATAGTTTGAGAAATGGAAAGTCTTTCCACTATCTGAAACAGAATGGATGGATTCGCAACACATTAGAGTTTCTAAATTACTTTTAAAAGTTCCACCAACAATACCTGGAACCCTTCACTGAACATCAATCTATTTTGCATTTGTATTTGTATCTCTGTTTCCTCTCCTGCTTGGGTTTTTCTGCAGGACTAACATCTCTGAAAAGGGGGACAGAAAGTCACATCTATGGGACACCACTGATCAAAGACAAATCAGTCAAGGGGAGAGGGCCAGGATGAAGGGGAAAAGTTTGTAACTTTGTGCAGAAACTTTAGTTCTAACCTGCTTGTGCTGCGACCACTAATTCTTAGTAAAATAACCTGTCACTTCAACCAAATGGAGTTAAAGGTCTTTGTTTCCTACGGTAGGTATCTAGCTTGGGCAAGCCTGACATGTGGACAGTGTGTAACAGCACTAATACTTCACATTATCTTGATACTATTCCTCTGTTGATGCAGCATTAGACTGCATTG